TGGGAGGCCAGTATAAGGTCTCCCTGGAGCCCTCTCTTCTCCAGGCTGAACCCCCCAACCCTCTCAGACTGTCCTCACAAGGGACATGCTCCAGCCACCCGATCAACTTTGTGGCCTTCTCTGGACCCACTCAAGCAGGTCCGTGTGCTTCTTATGTTGAGATCCCAGAGCTGGACCCAGCACTGCAGGAGCGGTCTCATAAGAGCAGAGCAGAGGGGGAGAATCCCCTCCCTCGCCCTGCTGCCCACCCTGCTCTTGATGCAGCTCAGCACACGGGTGGCTTTCTGGGCTGCGAGCGCACATTGCTGGCTCACAGGCAGTTTTCCATCCACTAATACCCCCCAGTCCTGCTCTCCATCCACTCATCACCCAGCCTCTATTTGTGCTTGGGATTGCCCCCTTGCACTTGGCCTTGTTGAACTTCATGAGGTTCACACAGGCCCACCTCTACAGCTTGTTCAGGTCCCTTCGGAATGGGACGGAGTAGTTAAGGGTGAGCAAAACTCCTTCACATCCTCCCTCTAAGAAAACTTAGAAATAGACCACTGTGCTGGGGAACTTGGATTAGAATAGTCAAATCATAACAAAGGTAGAGTAAGAGGAATTGAGATAAACTTGCTCAAATCTGAAAGGAAGAGGCTCATAGAGCTCTGTAGCACTAGGGTGAGCTACAGCAACCAGAAACAACACAAGGTGAGGTGTTGTGAGAGCCATCATGTCTGCATAATGACAACAGACATGATTCAGGTTTGTCTCTTTTAGCAAATAATTAAATATTCTTCTCATATTTTCTTTCTCAATGACTGCTCATCCATCAGCATGGAAGTGGGTAAGCACAAAAAGGAGGCCTAATTTACATCAAAACAGAAGGTAGAAGACAGGGACAGGAACTAGGAAAATAGGGAAAGAAAGAGAGGGAAAAAAGCATTACAGGCAGGGAAGAAGACTACAGTCAATAACAGCAAAAGGATAGGACCAACTAACCTTTAAAGAATATTTCTGTTCACAACACGGAACTAATTCCAGAAGTCTTGAGACCCTGCATTCCCGTGCTGTGAGCACAGGTAGGAAATTCCCTGGCAAATCAGACCCCTCATCCCCGCTCTGGTGACTGATTTTAAGACCACCTGCTATGTCAACATACTCCTTTGGCTCAAACAAGGGAGAAGGTTTCTATAGCGCTTCACAGTAAACAGTAGGATGGCAACTATCCATGTCAATATGGCTTCAATTTACAAAATTCAGGGATGAGGAGATTCCAGGGTTCTAAAAGGAAATATTTAAAGAATCCTATATTAAAATATTTACTTGAACACAGAAAATGTTTTATGCCCTTTCTAATTCTAATGTTCTTTAATACAACATAGATTCCTTTTATAGTAAAGAAAACATTACCTGGTGAGAAATATGAGAAAATTTGAGAGCTGGGAAACCATTTCTTAAAAAGTATTTTAGTTAAAAGATAAGCACTACCAAGTTCTATACCATAACTGCCCAAAGAGAAGTGAGCAAAATCTATTCTTTGTAATCTTTACTGAAGAGCATCAAATCTTATAAACTCAAGGCACAAATGACAGTATCTCTAGTATTAGCCAGACTTTGTGATGCCCCAGTTAACACCAGAAAGAGCCTCAACAAGCACTTCTTATCAGGTATGGAAACAGGTCACTGAAACTTATCCTTTGCACCAAAGAAAAATATTAGTAAAATTTTAAAAGTCATTACTGAGATTTATCTTTCTTGTGTTCAGGTAATCAACACCTACACAGCTCCAACTGCTACTAAAACCACTCATATCCCCAGGGCATTAGAATACATTCCTATTGAAGCAAGGAAGAATTTCCTTGATTTCTTATGTTTACTTACTTTTCTGACTAAAGATGGTTTTTTTTGTATCTAGGACAAGAAAGAACATAATTCAATACACCATATACGTGCTTTCTTGATCTTTCAAACATTATCCTTAAACCTCATGTCAGTTGTCCTACATGCATTGTACTTCAGAAAGCATTAAAGACTTCCAATTTCACCTGCTATGCCGCAACTTTATACTGTCAAAATTAATTATATTTATCCCTTAAGAATCATCTCTTATTACTCAGCAAAATGAACTCAGCTGACTGCAGAGCAAGGCTGACAGACTTTGGAACAAAGTGAATGGGATGCCCACCACTAAAGAATCACTGGGCTGCTTGGTGCTAAAGCTAAACTGGCAAAAAAATAGGACATTCAAACTATTGGTGTGTGAAGTAATCCCTGAGTGGTATGGAAAAGAGAAATATAATTTTTTGTAGCTTTTAATTACATACATATTCATATTAAGAACAAAGACTCCAAGAACAGCCAAAGGAATAACGTGAAGCTGTATCAGGTATAACAATTTAAGCTATGTATTCTCCAGAATAAACATGCACAGCTATCATTAACTGGGATTTTATCTGTAAAATAGCAAGTCACTCATGAGCAACTCCTTTAAATTATTTTTATTTTGAAAGTTGAACTATAGCTAGATGTTTAGTCAAGAAAAGTGAAAAATAGATGGTTTAAAGTAACTCAGTGCATTTATTTAAATAAGCATATTTGGAAAAATGAAATTTCTACTTTAAAATAGTCTCCTATGGTATCAGCTATGGATTGTATCAAGTCTCTCAAAAACAGTTAATATTTAATTGCCTTGGGTTTAATTTTTATCTGTCTAGCTTTGCATAGATAATTTCATCTGCAAATTTATTTTTATTAATTTGAATTTATACTGCAGTACAACCAACCATTCAAGGCAGTTTATTAAACTCAAAATACATGATAGTTCCTGCCCTGAAGAGACTCCTGTCTAAGTGTCAAGCAAGACCAACAATGGGAAGAAAACCAGAAGTGAACAGAAGTAAAATATCTTGTCTAAGGTCAAGCCACAGGTCAAAGACAAAACTGAGAGTAAATCCACTATACTGGCTATACCGCCTCCATCAGGCTATCAGTCCACTGTGAGCCTCACAAGCAACTTGGGAAGGAAGTGGCAAAAGTTGTAAGAGACCAGCAGAAATTTTACTTCACTCTTATGCAGATGATACAGTTTAAGTTTACGTGCTTCGCTCTTGCCCATGGAAAAATTACCACGGTGCAAGCCAAGTACTATAATTCTCTGAGATGGCACTGTATTTCAGTCTGTGCACTACCTTTTTCTCAGAGTTGCTTATAAATTTACAGAAAAACCTCATGTTGGTTGAACCTGTAAAAGAATCATAGCTAAAATCAGGAGAGGATTTTTGTAGGGTTTGCCTTTTTTTTTTTTTTAAGAAAGAACATCCATACAGAGTTCTACTTGAAAAAATAAAAATGAGTGGCAGTAGGCATTGCTATACTATTCTATAACCCTCTTGTTCAAAATATTAAATATTTTACATTCCAGTTTTCAAACATACTAAGCAAGCAGCCCTGAACTGATTGATAAAGCAAAGCAAATAAAAATGCATTCAGGGATACTTTAAGATTTCAAATTGACTATCTGTAAAATGCTTCACTTTTTTTTAACTTAAATTTCTAACTACAAACAGGTAAATATATTTTTGGGGGTGGGGTGGTGAAGGAAGGCATAGACATTTTAGAAATTTAGGGCTATGCCTTAACTATGGAATTGGCTCATGGCATTAGCATCAATTTTGAAACTAAAAATACCTTTAAGCCAAAAGTTTGCTCACTATCCTGAGGCAACCTTTTATAAAATCACAGTCACTTATTCCTGTAGTATAGCAGACACAAAACAAACAAAACAAAAAACCCCAAAAGATGAAACTCCATAGCCCTCTATAAACATTTTAAGCTCTGACCACGTTCGTTAAAAATGCAAAGTTATCAATGTAAATAGCATTCAGCTAACAGATCTTACAAGGAAAAGTACACCCCAATTATTATTATTATTATAAAAGTTAAATTCGTCAGTCTTTGCTTTTTAATACAAAATTAAACTAGACAAAACACCACCATTGCAACAAAAGTCTTGGGATCAGACTGTGCTGAATTTCAGCAATACTGCACCAAGAAAGTAGGATCACGCAGCTTTATCCTTGGATTTTTTTTTTTATGGCAGTCATTCTTTTGTTTATGTTTTTTAAAGAGAGGATATTATAGCATTTAACTTAGATCAAAATAAACATAAATCAAGCATGTCATCAATACTAATATTTTAAAGGTAATAATACACATCTTTTGAACAGGTCAAATACATGAAATTTAGAAAGATATACTTTAGGGCTTTCAAAAAACACAACCGTTTTGAAACACTAAGGAGAGAAATAGAAACAAATGTTCACATACACACAACTGAAAAAGCAACCACAGAAAGATATAACTGAAAAATTAACCACAGAAATATATAGTTGCCTTCAACAGCACAATTTTACCTTAGTGCTACAAGATGATTCAACTCATATTTCAAAAACAAAACACCTCCATCCCAATACTCAAAATGCTATTACTGTACGGCTCTAGCTTTAGAGTTTAGCAATATAAAAATGGTGAAATAAAATGCATTTGGTTATCACTCTAGCTCTTTGCCTTCTTCAGTAATTCTGAAAAGCACAGGGAAACAGATAAAAATAAGTCAAAAATCACTGCTCTTCTGACAAATGGTAAATCAATCTATGAAATGAGAAAGACTTATATGGACTTGGCAATGACCTGGATTCTCCTTCTTTTCATATCAAAGGCTGCTCATAAAGAACTACAGTGAAATACAAAAGTTTAATGCAGATTATTTTTGTCAATAGCCTGGTGATCAGCTGCAGCAGCTTTGTACATTATTATGTTGTCTTTGTGCTGTCTACAGAGAAATTTTTAATACAGACACTGACTAAACCTGTGATATTTTAAAACAAAATCCTACTTGCCAAATTACTTAATATAGCATGAAGTTTACCCATACTCCTGCAACATTTTCTATTATTACATACAGGAAAGCAGAAATAAGACAAAGAAACACTAAAACCAAATATAAATACGTTTACCCTTCTTATACGCAGTTCTTCTATTGCCTCCAGTAAACTTGTTTTAAAGTCCAACAGTCGAATGGAAAGCAATGTCTCTGATGGGCTTTGAAGAGTAGAGTCAAGTGCCTGTGTTTTAAAGTCTTCATCCATTCTTCAAACTTGTTTCTGCAAAAGAAAAATGTGTATTTCCTCTCCAGTTTATCTTTAAGAGAATATTCAAACTGCAAAACCTGAAAATACGGAAACAAATTCTTTTTGCAAAGAGTAAAACTACTAGTTATAACCATTATGCAATTAACAATATTTTCATTTTAAATTAGTGTGCGATACTGTAAAAGAAAACAAACAGCTTTATCATTAATTCACTGCATTAATTTCTTTTTCCTCTTCATTTTTGGCTTGGTTTTAGTTTTAAACAAAGACTGTGATAAGCATGAAAAAAGTAGTGCGGGTTTTTCTCCCAGAGCTACTGCCCTGCACTGGCATGAAGATACTGCAACACATTAGGCCTACACGAAAAAGTAACCACCTATCTTCAAGATTTCAAAAATCACAAGACCAGCTCAATTTTAAAGACAACCTTCAGACTACCTTAAAATTATGAACTAAAGGCAATATTCATGGTTTCTGCTTCTGATTTTTAACAAGAAAACTTTCCGGCTCTGTTCCCACAAGATCAAGTATCAAAATGTTGTACTCTAAACTAGCTACATCAACTGTTGTCAGGCAAGGATTTATGCCAATATAAGATCCAGGTGTCTCTGTAGGGACAAAGCATGTTTGTTAGCGACATCAGAGATGATTACAACACTCAGCATTTGATTTACAAAAAGATAACAACTGTACATATTTCAGCTGTGCTTTCCAGATTATATTTTTTTAATACTTGAGACTGAATTTCCACCAGTCCACTAGAATACATATTGCTATCCCTTCCCAGAGACACCCCATGTGTGTTTCTGGACTAAGAATTAAAGAGGTAGAGTTACGACTGACCTGGCCACTGCCACAGAACCCTTAGGAAGGAATTCCTGCAGGATGAACAGAGACCTGGTCTGTATCATGGGGCCATAACAACTACAAATCAGAGCTCACCACTTTTTCTGCTGTTGTCTAAATAAAACCCTAACATAGATCAAATTTAAGCTGCTTGGTCATGGATAATAGATTGATTCCCTGCTTAGCTGCCCCACCACAGAAGTTATTCTAAGTTACTGAAATAACGGCTTTGCTAACAATAAAAAAAAATAAATTAAAAAAAAAAAATCAGGCTCATTTTTGTCTTCCATTTTAAAACATATGATTAATAATGAACTGTCCAATATGAAATATTTATATAAGTTCTTTTGTCAGTGTCAAAATGTTTATGTCTGAAGGATTTCTGAAGAGGCAGTAAACAGAAGTCTGAAAGAGAACCGTGTACTAACATGTACCACTTTGGGCAACAAATCTGTTGTGTCAACGTGTCACTATGAATCAGGCCCTGTGCAGCCAATCTGCATATATTTTTCAGACACAGTTTGGGCCCAGGTTGGTGGTTTGGTTTGTGTCTGCTTTTTTGTTTGTTTGGGATCTTTGTGTTTTGTGTTTTTGTTGTTTTGTTTGTTTGGTTGGTTGGTTGGGTTTTTTAAGTAAAGCATTAGGATACAAAAAAAAGCCACTTTTTTTTTTTTTTTTCAAAGAACATAGAATTGATAAAGTCTGATCCTCCCAAAAGCACATTAAAAAATTAGTTTCTTTCACCCAAGTTTCCAAAATTGTTTCCTTACTGATGGATGTTGTCCCACTAACTCATGAAGCAGTACTACAAAAACTTTTGTCTATCACGTATTGGGAGATTATCATAGCTACAAAACTAATAAAAATGCTAATATTATGCACAATAGATTAGGCACAGCGCCATTTGACTTCACCTTTAATCATGCTATATTCTGATCTGAAGGGTAAGATTTTGCAAATATAATGTTAAGACACGGTGCATGCTCTAATTCTATTGTCAGCTGATGGTACCGGCTCGGAGTTGGGGGATTCTACAGTGATGAATTTCTACAAGACAGTACTGTTACCAAATTGAGAATCCCGGTAGCCTGTGTTAATACAGGGTGTGTGTGGGTGGGTATATTAAAAAAAAAAAAAATAATTTCAAAAAAAGAGTGCTTGTGAAAAACTTGACACAAAAAAAATGGATGATCAGCTCTGGGATTCATCCTACAAAGGTAGGTGCACTTGAAGTGCATTTCAGTTATGAAATAATTTCTATGCAAGTCAACCAGTAGAAGAATGTGTATTAACCGATACACACTAGGGCTTGCGATTTTCCTTCCCATCACAGAAGCAATCTGACAATTATTTTCTCCAGGGGATATCTTCAAACTAATGCTACACTCTAAGGGATGGAAGAAAATGGGCCTCAGGCATCCATGGGCTTTCTCTCAGCTCACTGATCTCAGCAGGGGCACTTGACAAACAAGACTTCACCTCCCTAATGCAGTGAGTAAGGGTAAAGGCTTTTCTGAGTGAAGCTCATTGAGTCTTCACCCATCCCTTCATCATGAAAGTACTATTTTCTCACGGGCAATTTGTACTCAGACTGCTTTTTCCAAGACTTCAACAAAATGCTTCACAGCCTACTGCTGAAAACTGCAAGGTACAGTATATAAGTTAT